TATATATATATATATTTAAAGGAAAGCATAAATCAGAACCTCAAAATGCCCCAAAAGTACCATATTTTCTGCACTACAAGGCACTTTGGATTATAAGGCATGCCTTCAATGAATGGCCTATTTCAAAACTGTCAATGCCGGCCATTTGAGTCTGAAACAATTTAATGTACTTAACGGTACTAATGTGGCTTAAAAAAAACAAAAAAAGGAAATCAACATTCAACTAGGGTCATGGAAGAGGTTGTGTTCTATTGTATTACCGGTACTTTGTTTAAATAGTCGAGAACGCCGCACTGCTATAAGAGTTCCAATTTTCAGTTCACATTGCAATTTAATATTTCATTAAATTAAAGCAGTATTTTATAATACAGTAAACATTCACAAATCAAGTGGTAGCGATAAACCTGAAGCATATGGTGCAATTTGCCACTCGTCAAATGTTCTATTAATACTCAAGACTGACTCAAAACTCAAGTGCACCACAAGAGCCCAACGTAATTATCCCGCAGCCGGGTCTTCTATGAGCAACACTTGAGCTGCATCCTTGACAATAGTGGATAATGATCTCGACCGCATTCAGGCTCTTCCTACAGGAAGCAGATCTGTGAATGGACTCCGGCTGCATCTTGTAACCTCAACACATTAGAGACGTTAAGTGACACTCATCTTTTAAGTGAGGGCTTCTGGGCATGAGAGTGGTGTCGGTCACAGATATATGGACATCGCTCCATTGTGGATCCCTCTTCCTGCCACAGTGTGCGCACCTTTGCCACACACGCACCCGTTCGAAATATGACCACACGCGCATCCACACTGACAGAGGCAACACATCACTGGAGCTCTCTCCCTACCGAGAATCCAATCACATAGAGAGATTTGGCCGTATCGTCCTAACTGGATTGTAGTAATCCTCGGTTTAACACATTTTGGGGATGTGTGAGTGGGGTTAGGAGGTATCATGCCAAGTTGCGGCCGACTGCTGATGCAGAAAGTATGTGAGCCCTACTTTCTCGTTTAATAATAGGGGAAGGGTCAACCCTCTTGAAGCCTTTGAAATTTAGAGAGCTTCATCATCATTATTCACTGAGCTGTACGGTGTGCATTGTTAGTTTGATCAAGTGTCGTCGTTTATCCTCTGCTTACTTCATTGTTCATCTTTTCTTTCATTGTTCTCTCGTCCTCCATGCTCTTTACAGAGACATCTTTATCTCCATGTTCCCATCTCGTACTAGATCCATCTCCTCCTCTTTTATGCTCTGCAGCATTCACACACGCACATGCCTGAAACCTTTTGGCGATGAATGATGTTCCAAACATAGTCCTAAATTGTGCATATGCGTTACGGTCCACGTGCTACTTGCCTGGTGATGGCACACATCCCCAAAGGATTCTCGAGTGCCTTTCGACAATGTAGTAAGACCGTGTTTGTACACTTCCTATGCGGGACTGTGACAAGAAAGCAGAGCACTCGGAACCCATCTTTTAAATATGCTTACAACCTCTTGTCTCCCGCTTGCATCAATTTAGAAAGCCTACCTCTGAAAAAAAAAAACATCCTTGTTTGATTATTCATAAAATAATAGCATTCACATGTACATGTAATGAATTGTAAAGAAGTCATCAAGTGATGGTGTGGATGTAAGAAACAAAGGATGCGGATCATTGGCCATGCCATGGGAATGGGCATTTGACCAAAAAAAAAAAAAAAAAAAACAATAATAATAATAATTAATAATGATGATTGACTGTTGGTAAAATCTATGGTCAATTGAGCAAATGTCACTTCAGCTAATACACAGCATGCAGAAGGATCCTTTTGCATATTTTGAACTGAATTACGAAGTGTGCTCCATTTTTTCCTAATTGTTTTCACGACATGGTTAGTCAACAGTCACTTTTACAGAATTGAAACATTTTTAATTCATGGTTACATTCTAACTATGTCATCCTGAGCTTGTCACACAGTTTAATGGGGTCAGGCACAAACGTGAAGGTGGATACTCCCATCACTAACCACATTGACCACACTAATGTTGACGCTTGAGTTAAGTACCTGCTCTAGGATGTGGAAAAACTTTTTTTCACTAATGAGTTTGATATAGTGTGCTCATTAGCTGTAACCTGAAGGGAGCTGTTCTGGCTATGTAACGGGTGGCCCTTGCCAAGTCTGCAAAGCTTGGAAGTCACAACAGATGTGGCTAGAAAGAGCAGGGACAGTCGGCGGTGGCGGGGAAGCGTTGGAACAGATGTCTGGGGCCAACACCCTGGAAACGGGCTACAACATGTTGGTGGGATGAGGTTAATAATTCCACCACTGGTCCCCCAATGTTCTCTCAGTCATTGTAATTGTTTGCAAAACATTGCTGACTCATCTTGAACAAAGAGAAATATTTAATATGATCATCTCATGACGCAAGTAGAAATTTAACAAGATACTGAGCATATTTATCATACATACAATTAATATGATACAGTATTCACATATGTGCATGCTAATGGTAGGTGTAATAAAATGTGAAAGGCCCCATTTAGTGTTTAGTGTGTCCATAAAATGCCATAAAGCCCTGAAGAAAATTAATATGGGCTTCAGGGCTTCCAAATCTCCCAACCTAACACAAACAGTTTGAGAAGAAAAGTAACTTAAAAGCTCTGCTCCCATTTCACAACAAACAGTGAAGACATTTGGCCAGAGGCAATAGACTATTACCCCCTTATATCTTCAATTGCAAGCATCTGCCACTCAAAATGCAAATTATTATTTTATGGCTATATTATTGTGTAGCATCCTTAGCCGATTTCTCCGCTGTTTTCTCCAGGCAGAAACCTGCTGTATAGATTACTGAATGCGGGAAGTGCAGGCAGTGGTTATTAATTAAAGATCCACAATGGCACCTAAACTAAGAGTAACAGATCCGTGTACAAATTAATCACGCAATCCAATTTTCACACTAAGGCCTTTCTTTCCTAAACTTAACAGTCCAGTCATGTCCGCTGTTGTTTACCGTTCTCCAGATCGAGAATTAAACCTGAATGAGAGCAATAAATCATGGTGGAGCAACACACAAACCTCTTGTTGCAGGTTTATGTTGGAGAGGGTAACAGAAGGAGAGACTGAGTGAAAAAACTCTGCGGACCGTTAATCAAGTCCAAAAAGATGGCTTTTTTTTTTTGGAGTGGCTAAAATGATTGAAGGGGCGCCACATTTTTATTCACCTCTGCACTCTCTCACACACTTTTTTTTTTCTTAATGACAGCTCCTTTAAGATAAATGAGATGTGTTATGAGGAATCCAGGGAAAATTGAGAGGAGGATGCTAGGGATACGGGATTAAGCAGTTAATAGACTAGCCGCCTCATGATGAATATATCTTATCAACATTCATCAGTCTTTCTAAATGAAGAAAGCCCTGACCCTGTCTCAACAGATAACACCTATTAAGCTAAAGTCTCCATTGGACGCCTTTCCTTGAGTTTTCTGGATTTCACACCTGACTTAAAAATATCCATCTGTCTCTGTTTTTAGGTACCATCTCTATCAACACCCTCCGAACTGCCTATACAGCCCCTGGAGAGAGTGAAATTCTGGACTTGGATGATCATCTTTACCTTGGGGGCCTGCCTGAGAACAAAATGGGCCTGGTGTTCCCCACTGAGGTGTGGACAGCTCTGCTTAACTACGGTTACGTTGGCTGCATTCGGGATCTATTTATTGATGGACAGAGTAAAGATGTACGGCGTCTGGCTGAAATTCAGAAGGCTGCTGGAGTCAAGCCTTCGTGCTCCAAGGAGCCTCCCAAACAGTGTTTGAGCAATCCTTGTCAAAACAACGGCATCTGCAGGGAAGGCTGGAACCGATATGTGTGCGACTGCTCTGGTACTGGATACCTGGGTCGCTCTTGTGAAAGAGGTAGGATGTCCTTCCTAGCTGTGGTTGAAATGTTGTCAGCACTGAACAATGACCCAATCATTTTTCTCTGTAAGGTTCTGAGACGTTTCTTTTTTTTCTGGCATGCTAATGTTTTTGGGTTTTTTTTTGTTTTCAAAACTATGAATTACCCACAAAAATAATGGCAATTCAATAATTAAAGAGTCAAAATTATGTCAATCATTTTAACATTTTTAATTGTGATACAAGTGTAAAAAGAGTTTTCGCTTACAGAAAAAAAACACATACCGTAATTACAATCAATAATAATGAGATGTGTGACTAAATCGTAACAACCATGGGAGTCAAGAGACGGGATTGGGAGGTGTGTGTCTTACACTCCGGCACTTGAAGGTGACAGCAAACTTCACCATATCATATACATTCATGTTTTGTTTGAATTTCGTGTTTTGTGTGCAGGTATTTTGCAAAGTGTGCCCCGCAATCTGGTACTGGTACAGACGGCTCCGTGAGATGGTGTTTCCTCACGAGATGCCCTGTACCTAGCCTCAGGTCCTTAGGTCATTGCTCTTTTCCTTTTATATTGTGTTTGCTTATGCTTGTTTTCACCCTTGTGGACAGTGGTGCTGTGGGGTGATTTTAATTGTGTGAAGCACTTTGAATGACATTCTCATGTATGAAAAGCGCTTCATAAATAAAGTTTGATTGATTGAGGTGCATACCTGTCCATGACATGAGGAGGAGGACCAAAGAGCCAACATGGGATGACAGGCAGATTGTCGTGACAATGTTTTATTAAGTCCACTGATGAATGGGGCCAAGGGAGCCTAATGTGGACAGACTTTACCAGATGAGGAGTGCAGGTGTGGGATTCTAGTAGGTGACAGGTGAGGTGAACAAAGCAGGAGCACAGATGAGGATGCTGGTGCAGGAACTCGTATAGGAATATGGTTCAGATAAAAGCAAGAGTGCATTCATGCGGTTTGGAGGCGACTCTATGACAGCGCAAGTCGATCTGATGGCATGGTGCAGTTCAGGACTGGCTTTGGATTGCAGTCGACGATGATGATGATTGTCTGAAGCTGGGTCCCTGGTCCAGACATTCATTTCTTTCAGTTATATTTGATTATGCTATTACAATTTGATTTAGATAGTACAGTACTGTACATTACTATGTGTGCTATTCAAAAAAATCTAGTGGCGTTTTTTGGGGGGGCCCGGAACTGATTAACGGCATTTCCATTCATTGCAATGGCATAAGTTGATTTGAGATTTGATTGATTTGAATTACAAGCATCTTCACAGAACTAATTACATTTATAAGCCAAGGTATGATTGTGTGGCACTATGCTGCCAAGTCTTGTATAACACTTTGCTATGCCGTAAAACCATATTTGGATGGATGGTTATTATCCCTTTTTTTTTTGTCATCAATTGTGTCCATCTGTGCTAGCGTCAAAAACACGCAAAAGCCAAAGAAAAACCGGCTCGTAGAGCAGGAGTATTGCAAGCTTTGCTGACCCTGCTTCAGACGGTGTCAACCGTCTGAAGCAGAATGAATGTTATGCCTTTAATGTATAATTATTTTGGTAGCGGAAAGTTTGGTGTTGTTTTATTTTTTCAAAATCAATGATCCTGATTTTGGAACATGGACAAAAACAGATTTATTTGAAGAAAAGATCATTTTAACATGCCGCTGCAAGGCACACATAAAGAGTCAGGTTTTGTATGTGTGTTGAGTGTAGGACTTGTTGAATGGCAGGTGACGGATGCACTGCTGAGGCACACTGGCAGTCATATCGAGCATGCACAATAGCCTGCAAATTGGCTGTCTTCTGCTAACCTTTTAACTCATCGGGCCACTCAGCTGTGGCCAGACCTGGCACAGAATACTCATAATTTTTCCTCTGGAGGAAAGACATAAGAGAAGTGAGCGAAGTCTTCAAGTTCAGACTCTTGGCTGACTATGCAACGCTCTGTAGGCTATACTGCATTAAAACAGCAGTACAAATGCTTTTACTGGGAACATATTCATTTTCTCTTGTGTTATGGATTTATAGTTTTGATAGATCTCTCTGAATTACAGAGATGCTGTGTGTGTTTGGGTTGTGCTGAGTGCAAAGCTCAGCAAGGTTGTGGCAGTGCGTTTCTGCCTACATCAGCTTGTTGGCCTTTGACCAGCAGATTAGTTTTAGTCTGACATGCTTGATCAAAATGTAGCTCGATCAAAATAACAACCATCACCTTGTGAGTGGGCCGAATCTTTCTGCTGCTAATATCATTTACAGAAAGGCTGTAATACAATATTTTGGCTTATTTATGTTAATAGAGTGAGCAATTAAAATTGGAGTACCGGTATAGTTTTGATTGCAATTTTAGACATGTAGTTTGCATTATGATAATATGCTCTGGGGACTATGAGTATTTCCATAGTACAGTATACAGTATACTGTATTTCCCTTGTACATGGATCAATAGCAACAAAAGCAATGGGAATGAGGATAATTAATAACAGCACCAATTCATACAATACAACTGTACAGAAGTTATTTTCTACTTTTTACATCAACTGTGCAATGCATATTCATGCACAAATTAAAATATGAATAATCAAGGCAAATGTCGAAAAGAGGTGAAGCATGTGACAACGTTATCATGGTGCAATACACTTCAGGTTTCCTCACTGGAAACCGTTCTTCATCATTATCATAGATTCCATGACAAGATGGTTGTACTGACACTTCCAGGTCAAAGACAGACTGGCGTGATCTCGCATTTTGTTTTTGCGTTTGTGCTATCAAGTCTCATTACCCATAAATCATCCAATTTCAACATGATTTTTCGCCTTCTTGCTCTCATTCTTGTAGCCATGTAAAGCTAGTTTAAGTTGCGCTGTTGAAATGTGGCTAGTATGAGAACGTAAATCAGAGATGGATGGGCGCTCACACCCTCTTTGCTCTCAAATCTTTTTGCCGTGGATATCAAACCAGTGAGCATACAGCCACAAACAGCCGTGTTCACCATTGAAATATCTACAAACCAATGGGTGACGTCACACCTGACATCATCTGCAGCTGCGGAACAATCACGCTGAATTACAATGGCACTTGAACATGGAAATAGCAGACAGTGGTAATCGCTTGACCCAAAGAGAAGGAGCATTAATGCTGTGCCAGCACAACATGATATATTTAATAGAAGTGTTTTGGAAGCAAACATCCGACATCTCTTTTGAATGTGCCAGTTGAGCTTTGCTCGTCTCTGCTCTGCATTGCTCCGCTCTGCCTTTCCTCCACATGTGTGCTCCACTTTTGACTAATTAGATGACAGGAATATGGGTATTGTACATGAGGGAAGTGGAATGGCCCCTGCATTCAGATTATTTTCTTACTTCACTTCTGAAAGATAATAGCTTTTGCAGAGAGTGTTTTTTTGGGCTAACAAAGGCGGAGTCCGCTTTTACTTCAATGGGAAATTCCGGCAAATGGAAAAGAAAGTGTCGCATCTTCACAGCCAACAGTTTATTGCCACAGTTATTCCTTTTCTTCTCACATTCAAGTGTCTTACTGTTTTGGCCAGGATGCTCATCTCTCGTGTTCTGGCTGTGTCGGCTCAGACACTGGCATTAGTGTGGCAGTGAGTAGGAACAGAGGAGCACAGGCCTGCTGCCAGCTGTTTTGATGGCTCCAGATTGCCGTGATGTTTGTCGGATCCAGCAGGCACCAGTAGGCAGAGGAGCTGTCAAAAGAATTACTCCGGCTCTCACTTAGCCGAGCATGGTGTACCCCCCGGTGGCAAAGTACAGCAATTACATATGGTGTCGTTGAAGGACTACTACGACGACGACGCAGCTGCAGGAGCAGGGGGTGGGGCTTCTCGAGTGAGGCATGAAGCTATTTGCCCTGTTTTGAGAGATTTTAATTAAGCAGACAAAGCAATTTTGCTCTTGCCTCCTAAATGTCTACCCTTCCATTGTTAATCCAGTTGCTAATTAGCACAAATATTTGTGTAAAGCCGAGGCAGGCTACCAGATGGCTTGTTGCAGGACACGCACATATTCCCTAATGAGATATGACACTCCCCATTGCCGAGTGCAGCAAACGTCTGCATTAAACGTAGGTTTTTGATCAGTCAGAGGCAGAAGCAGGTCACATAGGTAAATTACTGCAGGAATGGAATTTACTACTGTAATCTGGAATAAGCAATTAATTCCAGGTATAGATGCATTAGGTTGACATATGTATAAATTAGCCATAATAATATAAATTAATCTGCCAGAAAGCTCACAGGTGCACCATCAACAGTAATTTACGATGTAAATGAGTATAATACAGAATGTAAGCCTATCTAGGCAAAATCCAAATTGGGGGTCCACATAAAACAAAGTAATTGTTAGTCACTATTCAAACTGCTTAACTACTTATAGTGTAAGGGTCTTAAGTGGCTATAAATGAGAATAGTTGTCATATTCATTCTCCATCTGCCCAACGTTGCTCTTTGTCCAAATTTAAGAATTTGAGATTAAAGTTCCAGATTCAGAAAGAGGGACCGAATAATCCAGTGATTCACAACCAGTATGCACACTGTTTTTTTCCGTGATAGGTGATCAAGTGTGTCGTAGAAAATTGTCCGTTGTCAATTATTTGGACAAATTATTCATTCATTCATTCATTTTCCAAACCGCTTTATCCTCACTAGGGTCGCGGGGGGTGCTGGAGCCTATCCCAGCTGTCTTTGGTCAGTAGGCGGGGGGACTCCCTGAACCAGTTGCCAGCCAATTGCAGGGCACACAGAGACGAACAACCATCCACGCCCACACTCACACCTAGGGACAATTTAGAGTGTTCAATCAGCCTGCCATGCATGTTTTTGGAATGTGGGAGGAAACCGGAGTACCCGGAGAAAACCCACACATGCCCGGGGAGAACATGCAAACTCCACACAGGGAGGCCGGAGCTAGAATCAAACCCGGTACCACTGCACTGTGAAGTCGACATGCTAACCACTGGACTATCGGGCCGCCTTGGACAAATTATTTATTTTTAAAAAAATCGTTAATCGACCAATGCCAATCTCATATAGTAACAGGCAGAAAAATCAGAAGTTCTTCCACTAGAGTAGCTGACAGAAGGTACATGTTAAACCTATGTGTCCACTTTGTGTCAATTCTTTTGCTAAGTAGTGTGCTGTTAATTTTTCTCCGATGTGAAATATGTGCTTTGGCTCAGTAAAGGTTGGAAAACACTGGAATAATTCATGACGACAGTGCAGCAACCTAATTTGTGCAACAAACTCTGCATGGCCATCTACACATAGGTGGCCATGCAGAGACAAATCTGTGCCAGCAACTGTAAAGATATACAGACTCTGCAGGAGTCCTGTCAAGTTGCAGATGTTTCTTTGTGCATACTGAATCATTAGAAGTCTACTTATTTGATTGGGCATGTTTCAAGAATGCTGTGCTAAAGAGTACACCGTTTTTAAATTGTTTATGGTATCCTATTGTCATTTCCTTTTTTTTCATCCTGAACATAGTTTCCCAAAGCCTTTGGCAGTTGTTCCCCAGTAAAATGTAAATTGGATTGGACCTGGTGCCCCGGTACCTTGGCATGCACATCACAATCCTGTGACATGCAGTTGACAGCTCCCCTTCCTGCAGAGCGTCTTCTCCTGAGGGGAGAACGGAAGGGAAAAAAAAAACCAAACTGTGTAGTGTCTGCCATTCCTTCCCCTTGTTAGTATCAAAGCCTAATTTGTCACATCACACGGGATGCAAACACATGCTGACTCCTCTGAAAAGCACACACAACAATGGTGTTTTGTGTTTTACATGTGAAAAAGGGAATGCTTGGTTATTTTGGTGGCTTCCATCAGGCCTGTGACAGTCTCCTGTCGGACACAATGACAGCCTCATTCCCCTCAATTTATTTACAATGGAAGGGCCACGGAAAACAACTCCACTTCAGGATTGGATTTTTGAGTGATGCTCACTTTGGATAATGCCATGATTTCCCCATATTATACTCCACATCTTGACACATATTTGGACTTTGCTCGTCTATGCTTCTTGAATAGTTGAAAGGTGACGTCAGGGTTGAAGTGATTAAAAACACCAATTTCATGGTCCGAGTCTCAGATGGTTTCCGGCATAATCGCAGCCACTTGTGGTAATCAAGTGTGAATTAAAAAGGGAAACAAGGCTGTTCTATATCAAAGCCATTGCTCCAAATATTTTGGATTGTATGTTCTTGAGTTGTTTTTGTACGATACACTGAGGTGTATGAAACGGTGTACAGTATTCGATACATCCTATTTTTACAGATATAGCATAAACCGAAGCAGGACTGACAATGGAACTAATGATAATACATCAAATACCGTGAGCCAGCATGTACTATGTGTAAAGCGGAGCAAACAACAGTAAATGTCTTCCGGGAGCAAGCATTTTCCAAGTGTTAGGACTTTGAACTCCGTATTTCCCATCATTTCCCCGACAGTTTTCAAACGCTACTCTCTGCTGTGTCAGCTTGTTAGGAAGCAGCGTGACTCGTTTGTCACACACCCCTGTCATCTGCAGGGTACCCCAGGAGAGGCGTGGAGAAATTGGATTTGGGTGAGAAATGTGACTGAGTCACTCCGGAAGGGATGGATGTGACATGTGCCTTTGTGTGACTGAAAAGTGATGATGAGGTGGTGTGTGAGACAGTGATACCCTATAACCCCCAAACTCTCAATCTCCCTCCCCTTTGAACTGTGCGGCTCAGCACCGCAAGAGCAATAATGGCTTTGTTATTGGGTTGTGGTTTAGTTACATTCTCGGAAATGCTGTTACAAATTCCTGCCAGCGTTAAACAATCTCCTTGACATCTCTCCAGACAGCGGCATAATGCGTTGAGTAAATGCAGCGGCAATGAGCAGACGCTCAATATTTAAGGTTCACAGACAAACACAGATCATGTTGATCCTAATATATTGTGTCTCCATCGATGTCCCTTTGCAGTTTTGTCGCTGTGACGCACAAAACACGTGGATACAAGGCTTCAGTCATTTGATTTGATTTGAGTTCCCATTATTTCCTTTACTATGCTAGTTCAAGGAACATGATCATGTCCTCGCCAGTTCTGAATGTGTTTCCCCTTCATAACGGCTTGCTTCCACCCACGGAGACAAATACTGCATGTCAGAATTTCAATACCTATTCAAACTTACAGTCTGTTTAGACACCATTTTTGAGACAATGAGTAATCCTGAGCAATGGCGATCTATTATTCTGTGCTGTGAGTCACAAATGTCTTTCGAAGCAAATCGCTTTCGGCTGAGTGGCACATGTAGAAGGCCACATTCTTATTCAGGTTTGAGCTGTACACGCTTTATATACAAATAAACAACATTGTTTCCTTGGCATTGCTTTCATCAAGCTGTTTTTGAACAAAATGCCGTGCTAAAATAAATAAATGAATAAAATGTATGACTGCAGTACTGGTCAGTACATCACAGCTTCCTAGGGCAGCGATTTCCAACTCCTATGCGATGGCAGTTTTGTGTGCCCTTCGAGATCATCAGGTGTGCCGCGGGAAATTGTACACTTTCACTTACCGGCAATTGTGCGGAAAATGTATTTCTAGCAAATATTGTATCTTTGTTCACCTGTCTATGCAATCAACATATAGTGACAGGCAGAGCAATCAATATCATTCACTTTTGCGCTTCTATACTTTATCAAAAGTGTCTAAAATGAGATGTTGATGTTATTTCAGTATATATACTTCTCGTGCCACTTTTGTTTAGTGGTGTTCTGTGAAATTTTGCCAATGTTTCTATGACTCAAAAAAGGTTGGCAACACTGTCCTTGGATAAAGATTGGGAAAGAATGCAGGAGGGTCCATGAGCATTTGGGAATAACAACAGTGAAAACTGATTGGGTTGCAAAGTGCTTGTATAATAGCCCCTTCGGCCAACTCGTAGACCAGATTTGTGATAAAACATCCCCATTTTGTATCACTGATTCTACATTTCTTTTTGGCCCTCTCATGAATCTATTTGCAGAGGCGACGGTCCTCAGCTACGACGGCAGCAAGTTTATGAAGGTCCAGCTGCCGGTGGTGATGCACACCGAAGCTGAAGATGTTTCGATGCGCTTCCGATCCCAGCGAGCCTATGGTATCCTAATCGCCACCACCTCTCGGGACTCTGCCGACACCCTGCGTCTGGAGCTGGAGAGCGGCCGCGTCCGGCTGACTGTCAATTTAGGTAGCGACCCAAGCGTGTATCCTCTCTGCAGCAGCAACGTCATGCGTCAAATTGAGCTAAATTACGCCTGACAACTCTTTCAAATGCACTGTACATCACACAGATTCCATTATTATTACACATTGACAATCTTGAATAGAAGGAGATGGTGTAAAGCTTTCAATGGCAAGAGTCTGCGGCTCTCTGCTTACTGCCACTTGAACTCGCAGCTGCCTTTGCCCAGCAAGGAAATGCTCGCCACTTATTCCAGCAATGTATTCCTCATTGGCATGTTTGTCTGAGACCCGTTATGGTGCAATTTTATTTGCAGTTACACCTTATGCATGGATTGATGGATAGATCGGTCGGTTAAATGGGTTGGATGGATGGATGGATGGATGGATGGATGGATGGATGGATGGATGGATGGATGGATGGATGGATGGATGGATGGATGGGTAGATTCCAAAACAAAGGAAATAACGCAGTTGGTCAAATCAATGAAATTACAAAAAGCTATGACAAAAAAATAGGCCACTGCCCACACCCCTCCGACCAAACGGATAAACTAACAATAAGCATATATATTACTTGGTGGACTTTTATGCCCATCTTTAAAATTGGTGCATTTCCTGTAGGGCAGGCAAGTGTCGGTCTCTGGCTGTTTGCTCCCACTTTTCTGCTGCGGTTGACAACACACGACAGGCAGGGCCAGAAAAGACGGCAGGGAGGGGGTTTTCGAACTGGGTCACCTATCGCAGAGCGCAACATGAGCTGAGCTTTTGCAACCAGGGAGGTAAAAAGGAAACGTAAGATAAAGCCTGTGTGCCCGCGGCTTACTGTAAGTCAGTCATGGAAGTTGACAACTAGAGCTGCTGTGGTAGAATTAAGACCACAATCCAGCACGCTGGAAAAGGAACTACAAAAAGTCAGGTTACTTCTTTTGTACACTTTTGTCTTTTATAGCTTTAGAACACAGACACACATAGACGTTATTGTTACCTTGAATTCCAGTCATTGGTGTAAGAATGGACTCGTGCTATCCAGTGTACATTACATTGAGGCAGAAACCCAAGATGACGGTAATTTTAATGTGCTGTAATAAAATGGCTGAACTATATAACAGAACTGCTTCAAATGTAGATGGTTATTTCATCATAATATCGCTATTCCAGTATACAACTCATGTTTCGGTAGGAAAGGATGGACGTAGCTGCCTGGCTGGCTCTGTCTGACTCTGACCAAAAATCTCATGCTCTCATAATATGTAATGTAATTGCAAATGATCCACCTAAAATACAAAGACTAAACAATCATACATATTCTTATTCGGCATGAAAAACTATTGTTGTCATTTGTTTTGGCTAATCCCATAGACCATGTTTTGCTCCTCTGTCATGACTACTGCAGCACTTAAGTGGTCATGTTGCAGCTGGAGGCCATGGGCGAGAGCATCAGAGGACGGTCAGCGTCCGTGTGTATGTCCCCAGAGAGGTGGACTGTATACTTTACTGATGTCTGCAGCTGCAATGTTGAAAGATGAATTTATCTCTCATCTATTCTTCCCCATCTAGATTGTGTCAGGATAAACTGTACCTCCAGTAAGTTACTGCTCACATTTCATTTCTTCTATAGCTCTTCTTTTACAGTACTCTACTTTTCTCGGCATTCATGTACTAGAGTCCTGGTGATATAGCAGCCCGGTTATAAAGGACATACTATTTCTTTTCTGCAGCCACTATAAATGACATTCAAAAGTCCTCATAAGATGTATCTGACTTGCATCTTGCATTGCAATTATTAATAGAACAAGAGGTTCACCAGAACGGAGAAAAGGGTGAGGTTGTAATCAAAGAGAACCATGCAGTACTGTGCCTTTCTATTGATATTCTGTAATTTTATTTAACACAATCAAACAAACCCCCCCAAAACCCCAGTTTTATTTCAGTTGTTTTCGCCATGCAGAAGGTACATGTCACCTTTTTCTTTTCTTTTCCTTTGACTCCAGTATTACCAACTGGTTGTAAATTGATGAAGCTATACATGGCACATATACAGGAAATACAGTGTGTGGTTTTATTGTTCTCATTAACTTGGCTCACGGAGCAGAAAGAAATGTTTGAAGACGAAGGTGCAAGAATAGATCATTGCCATGTGTGCATCTGTGAGTATGTGTGTTTCAACAAAGAAGTAACATATTGCAATATTGTATGACCTCTTTTCCTGTTTAATGATTCTAAGAGATGTACATGCTATCAATATCATCGATAATGATGAATGAAATCAAATCCTAGCCTGTCCCCACAAATACTCTGCAGGGGTTTAATATTCTTGAATTCGGTCGTCCGTATTCCAAAGGTCATGATGAGAAAGTGGCCCTTACACAACAAACGTTGCATCATGTGAAGTGACCTCTAGACACGCCTCTGCGGGCCAGCCACTCTTACCACCTTTCTAAATGCTAAATAGCATCGCTCATGCCTCCTGGATGCCTCCCTTGTTTGTGTATGCAAATGAAAAGCTCACAGCTCTAATTCCCCGTTTCAATGCTTTAAAAGGTCATTCTTGGTTTATGATGATACCGTGAAGGCGTACTGTCTCCACACAAAATCCGGGTTATTCTTTGCTAGCAGTATTTGGACTAGTAGTAGGATTTTGTTTTTTAATACCATAACTGTTATTGTCATACATCAATGAAATTTGAAATAAAACTATATTCTTCATGGATTGTCTAGCTTTATAGTTTGCATCATAAATAAAAACAAAATGCAAAGTATATTTTTTCAGAATGGCTATTCTAGGGGAAATAACTAATGGTGAAATGACGCAAAGAAAAATTGAAGAGCCATACCAAATTATGTCCCAGGACATAGGAAATTGAAATTTGGGGAGATTACCATTTTTATTTAGTTCTTATCAAATTCATTTCTTTTCCACGGTTATTAGCTTCGCTGTTATTTTTCAGCCTCTTCTTTCTCCCACTTGTTAATTAATGTGCAGTGTCAGGCGCTGCGGTTCTGGTCAGCTTGGTAGTTGAGAAAAATTCAGCTGCAACTCACTGTCAATTAAGGACTCCCTGGGGCTGCTGCGAGCTGTCAGAAGAAAACGCTGCCATTTTGACTTACATAAACACTCAGAACGTGTACCAAGCCAGAGCAAACCAAAACACAGAAGCTTAAATTGTCTGGCTCCAGATGGTCTCCTGCTTCCATGCTTCACCAACATTGCAGGGAGAGAGGTTATTATATTGGCCACTATTGGCTCATACAATAAGCTCTTTATAGTACGCCAAAGTGCCCCTGACAACTGATCTTTGGTGCAATATTTGATATACCGGTATACAATATTGGTCAAATGCAGAAAAATATGAAAGAAGGAAAGAAAATCTGAATATCTGGTTAATAAGTTAAAATTCACAGGTTTGCGATAGCCTCAAGCACATAAACTTCATGCCTGTCATTTAAATGGGATAACGTGTCTGAACCTCTTGCTCAGTGTAATGCTGAATATATAAATCGGTCATTGTTCAAAACACATTAGATTTACAAGGTTTTTACATAGCCCTCTGTTTCTTAATTGTTTCCTTTACGTTTGATGGAGGAATATACAGAACATAATGTTTATTGGCCTGTTTATGTTGAATTCTAAGTCATTCAAATGCGTGGAAATTTTGTTTGCAATTGAAAGACATAAATCTTACGACTTAGCCCTAAAAATGTCTGCATGTTTGCCATTATGGGAAATTGTGCCTTTTGGAAACATTCTGTTTCCAGTGACATAATGACAGATGGCATTTTGTCTTATTGAGGCTGAACCAGAAGATAGTTGCAGGATAAATATTCACTCTTTGGTCGCATAATTTCATATTTTGTGTGTCATTAGATGTTGCCAAGCTTAACATGCCCATTCTGTCGTTGCAAAATATCGATTGACAGGAATGTTTTTTTTTCCAAATTCTTAACATATTTGTTGGACAGTACATTGTCCAACGTGCTTATTAAATCCTAACGTTAGCAAAACTGAAAAATAACCAAAAACTCCATGTCAGCAAGCTCATCTGTTTTGCTCTTTGTATTTACCGTACAAAAAAAAAGGGCGGGAGCTCGACCAATATGCATTTCAAACAGCATAACATCTACTCAATACAATCAACATGAAGTTCAACTGAAAATGTCAGATTTGGGGGAATGAAATGATGACTTTTCAAAGGCCGCTTATGGTGATATATACTGTATTGACTCACATGCCTGATGAGTAAAAACAAACATCAGATTTCATGGACCAAATGTCCACCCAGACTTTGGTGTAATTAACGTCAGTGGCACTTGCTTTAATGAGCAAGTTCTTTTTGAGTACTAATTCACTAAAGAGAACTTAATAGACTGATTGGCCCTGTTTGGCGACCTTTACGTGATGGAACATTTTCACAATGCTTCTTAACATTTATCAGACAAGTAGGTTGCCTGGTGTGACCCACTAGGCTTTCCTCACCACCCGCACAGACTTTGATGTCTGCTTTTGACAGCAATCCAGCGGTTGCTGATCAGTCAGCCTCTTTCCTCCACCTGAGCGAGTAGCGATGTAGGGCCGGGCAGCACCAGCGTCTGGCTTGTCATTTTGCCAGCCCGAGTTGATTGACTGGATAATCACATGTTCTCTTGGTGCCCTTGTACCATACTTCTCTGCTGTTCCCTTGGGCACGGAAGCCAACGAGGCGGCAAGAGATCGCTGTGGGTCCATCACTGCAGATAGATCACCGTAAGTGAAGATTCCTTGTGGCTGGATGCCGCACACACATTGGCCTTTCATGTCAGACGCACAACCACACAGAAAGGCAGGGGATGCAGTGTGGTGTCATGTAAATTGGCCTCTTTGCCTGCTTCCTTTTTTCTCCCCCTGGAGAGCAACAAGGGCAGAAAGATGGAAGACAACGATCAAGTACACTTTCAAGTCCTACTCTATTCCATTATTTCATATCTCTGGCCGTTAATCCCTCTCCAGTTCCAATCCTGCCCGTGTGTTTAGTGCTTACAAAGCAGAACTGGGCCTCTAAGATTGAATGTGTCCCAGAACTTTGGCATCCTCAAATTTGCATATGCATTGCATCAGGGGTTTAAAACTTGCTGAAAAAGAGAGCATAAATAGCCATAAAAGGAGTTGAAGAGAATGAACCTGGCACCTATCTAAAATAAGCCTCACAGTGGGCACAGCCTAGAGATTTAATTCTGTCACAATGGGATATTGTCATCCGCGTGTTTGGTTGTGTGGGCGCAGCGGGAGAACACTGGAGCGGGATATGAATTCCAAGATCTTCGAAGAGGTTGCTTGCTTCTCTCGTCAGATCAATTCAGGGATTTCTGTGACTTGTGAGTGGTAATTGCAGAGAGGCTCTTGAAGGATTTTAAAAAAATTTCCTGCCGTTTGCAGTGTTGCTCTAATTTATCAGATTTTAAATTAGATTACGCTTGAGGTGTTTGCCACCTTGAATCTATGTAACCTCTCATGTACAGCCTGCCTGATAGCGGTCACACACTTCATGCAATATTAGAATGCCAGTTTTCAGGATTCGCTGAAGGCATGAATCAGAGGACTGTCGTATTATTTTAATTCATGTCACTTTCACTCATTATTAAAACACATCATGGTCACACAACTTTCTTGTTCAATTAGCATGTAACCAACATCAGATAACTAATGCTGTGTTTTGCCCCCAAAAATGTGTTCTCGCGTGTATTGGTGGGAGAATGTATTGAAAATAGAACCACACTCTGTGTTTTCTTGTTTTTGATTCAGTTGATTTGACAGCAACATTGGTTTTGCTGTACATGAGCCATTCTGCAACCGTGTACAATGGTTATGTTTCACATCACTGTTGTTACCCCTTTTATAAATTGTTTACTGGAAAGAATTGAAGAGACACAAAAAATTGAGAGTGCACGGAGAAGCCCAGTTGGTGAGGTGCGATATCAGTCATTTGCTGCCATCTGCTGGTGGGATTTAATTTGCTTTGATACTGTCTCGCAAGCTACAATTGTCCGTATTTTTTCGTTAAAAGCACTAACAAGGCCGATTTCCAGTGCGATAGTCATTTAAATATGGGTCCTTGATTACATCCTCTCTCCTTTTCGAAAATCTGAGTTCCTTAAGCGTTCTCGTGTATTTCTTTGTCTCATAGTGCACAGCAAACTGCAAGTCAGAATCATGTGTTTTTATGGACCATTAACTATGTCAACCTTCACGTTTTATGCGTTTGCTGGGAAAAAAATGAACTCATCCACTCTGTCCCCCTTTTATTTTTTCTTTCCTTTTACCTTCTTTACTATTTTCTCCAAGGATTTCTGTAGTGTATGCCTTCCTTGCAGATGTCTATGCTTGTTAACCATTTTCGGACTGTCCTGCAGGCAAAGGTCCAGAAACTATTTTTGCGGGTCAGAATCTGAACGATAATGAGTGGCACACAGTGCGTGTCTTCAGGAGGGGAAAGAATTTGACACTGACCGTAGATGATCTGACACCAGTTGAAGGTACTTCTTTACCAGCATTTCTCTGTACTTTCAGCCCAGTGTTGAACAGAGTCCCATAGAGAGAACAAAATACAACTAGTTCATGAAGCAAATTTGAAGCTCCATTTTCCCATCACTAGATATTTATTTGTTTATTTATTTATTTAGTATTTTTACTAAAACCACTATCTAGGGCCATTTTTGCTAATATTTGGTCAAATGAGCATTTATTTTAATGAATTGTACTGGTAGCAGGTCTGCCTCACAGTGGCAGGCTTTGAATTAAACAACATGCTTGAAAGGTTAATTTGAGACTCTTCATTCTCCATAGGGTGTAAATTCTTTTTTTTTTTTTTTTTTGGTTTGTTTGTTTGTTTTTGGGATGTCCCCTGCCATTAACAGGGGGCCAGTGTTGTGTGCACCCTCTTGCCCAAAGTCTTTTGAAATATTCTCCAATTCACCCGTGACCCTAATGAGAGAAAATGGATGGGTGGATTAATTTTGTTGGTGTAGTTTTAAAAAAAAAGATTAGATCATATGCACCCTCAATAATACAGTAGTTTGCTTGCAAATGTAGAACCTTCTAGCGCACTTCTTGTGTTTTAGACATTTTAAGGAAGTTGTGTTGCCATTGCAATAATTGTCCCACTCCCCCCAAAAAACAACCTCTATTTTCTCCATCTGTGCGATCAAGGTCAAATGGCCGGTGACCACACCCAACTGGAGTTCCACAACATTGAGACAGGCATCGTGACGGAGAAGCGCTTCATGTCCATGGTGCCGTCCAATTTCATTGGTCACCTTCAAAGCCTGTCTTTCAATGGCATGGCCTACATAGACTTGTGTAAAAATGGCGACATCGACTACTGTGAGCTCAACGCCATGATCGGCTTCAAGAACATCATCGCTGATCCTGTCACCTTCAAGTCGCGCTCCAGCTTCGTGACCCTCACTGCTCTTCAGGCTTACTACTCCATGCACCTTTTCTTTCAGTTTAAGACCACCTCTTCCGATGGCCTCATCCTCTATAACAGTGGGGATGGGAATGACTTCATTGTGGTGGAGCTGGTCAAAGGGTATGTTCACACTCTACAAAGTTCCAGTGCAGTGTGCACTTTCTGATGTTCTCAGAAATGTATTAATTTGACAATGTGGCAATGATTGGATTTGTAGTCAATTGTGGTCTAGAACTGCTCTTCACCACGATGAGCGCTTTTTCTAATACTGTATTCCAATTATCTAATTAAGTGATATGAGTCAAACTCAGAGTGTTACAGTGTATTCTCAAGAGGAAATTTGAAATAAACCGAAATAATGCTGTTGCACAAGTGTGCACACCCTTTTATAATTTGGAATGTGGCCGTGGTCAGAATTGGATCAGGTTGACCACATTTTCCAAAGTATTTTTTCGAGATTTCTAGTGTTCTTTGCAAAATGTAGCTGGGCTCAAATGTCTTTCTTTTTAAGATAAGGCGTCCACCTTTCCACTATAACCAATCGCACAGACATATAAAGAAGATGAGAAATTGTTACATTATATAAAAAAAAAAAAAAAATTAAAAAATAGTCTCTTCATCATTTTCTAGAGACATCTTCAAAGGTTATTTCACTTTTGTGCCATATCTTCTCACTTGATGGTAACTGTCTTCATTGCTTTCCATGATATGTTAATACAATACAGGTTATACTGTATGAACAGTGACACATGAACTTTTTATATCCACTGTATGGGAACCATTTGATTATTTTTTTTTCCCCCGTGCAATTTTGACAACTAATGTTTCCTTCTAGTCAGTGTGTCTGCCACTGAAGAGACCTGCAAATGAAAAGTAAATGTTTACTACTCTGCTACTAGTACAAAAATGAATAACAGCTATTTTCATGAAACTATTCATACAGTACCTCGTAACAGTTTCTCAAGTGAATGAAATTCTTGACAGTTTTTATCTACTAAAAGACTTCAAATTTCGTTCTTATCACCTTTGTGCCAGAATTGTTACCTCGAGTTTTGGCTATTAGTCTTCTTTTTAATCCTCACAAAGGCACACAAGGACCCAACATAAAAAAGGAATACCGGTAAACAACAGAAGAGTGTATTTCTGAAAGCTCAAATGACGCTATAGAATGGCCTCCTTTCAAGTAAGGCTTGAATTTATACATTATATTCTACTTGTGAGAACATGAAACTGACAATAATTTAGCTCTTTTCTATGCATCTGCACTGCTTCATGCTTAAAAAAAAAAAGAAGGAAAAAATGTACATGTGCACACATTTGCTCCATGTTTTACAGGTAAATAGCAAATGATGAAACTTTATTGCGCTGTTTTCTTGTCAAAAGTCATTTCCTGTGAATTTTTCTCCATTGTCTGATTATAGATACCTGCACTATGTGTCAGACCTGGGAAATGGAGCCCATTTGATTAAAGGCAACTCCAACAGGCCTCTCAATGACAACAACTGGCACAGCGTCATCATCTCCAGAGATGCCAACAACCTCCACATGGTCAAGATTGATACCAAGATTACCACCCAGACCACCACAGGCGCCAAAAACCTGGACTTAAAGGGTACACAATCTACTCTACATTGTCTTAAGATCGTCATCATCACATGTGCAGTTATCTCCTAATGGAATGGAAGCAAACGAAGATGAGTTTCATTTATATTGAAACATGCAAGCATGAAATCTAAACACATTGAACAATAATCAGAATTTTGGAAATGTATGCCTTCTTTATTTATAAATATATGTACCAGTAGGTCTCATGAAGGTGTACAATGAGCTCGGGCTGATTGACATTTTCAAATTGTGCACTCATTAGAGTAGTGTTTCGCATCCTATTCTATTTTCTACTAAAGTTCACACATGCATTTACCCATCTGAAAAATCCAAATAAAAATTCGCTCATCTCACAATGGCAAAGCTGCTTTTTATTCTCTTCCCTCAGGGTACTTTATAGGGTATTGCCATTTTTTTTCACTAGGGGACAGTATTGTATTTTTCTTCTCATATCATTCAGGTAACCTTTACATTGGTGGAGTTGCCAAGGAGATGTACAAAGAACTGCCCAAACTGGTGCACGCCAAGGAGGGCTTTCAAGGTTGTTTGGCATCAGTGGATCTGAATGGCCGCCTCCCTGACCTGATGTCAGATGCGTTGGAATGTGTGGGACAAATTGAAAGGGGATGTGAAGGTGAGGTTTGAGTTTCATTGGTTTTTTTTTGAGCTTCCTGATTTTATAATTGTCATGCCAGCATATCTATAGGAATGAGTAAAACTCTGATTCTTCTTCTTCTTCTCATTATTATTATTATTATTATTATTATTATTATTATTATTATTATTATGTTAACTGCAATGCTTAATTGGTTCATCACATTTTATCCAAGTAAAAGCCATATTAATATAAAATTATCTAAGGTGTACATTTACTAAAAAAGATGTACCAGTAAGTTAAATAAATTAGCTCTGGACCAGCACAGAGGTCGACTGGTTTGCACGTCACCTCAGGTAGGTTCGATATCAGGCCCTGCCCTTCCTGTGTGGAGTTTGCTTGTTCTTTTTTCACAAGCTGAATTTGGGGGGTTTATTTACATTCTTGACAATTGACAGTATAGGCTCACTATTTCTGCAAAACTAATAACTCTGGTCATTTCCCATGCTTAGACACGGTGCACTTTCTCTCTCTGAATTGAAACAAAATCAAAGATCAAAACAGACCCACTCTTTAAAACGGACACTTAAAAATGGCTATCAAATTACTGTCATGTTATGATGGATCATTCATCATTCGTTTTGCAGTATTGCATTTTTTTTTTCAAATACCCATCCCTCGTCTTGATGTGCAACGTACACTATTTCCATTTTATCTATTTTCTGGTATTTTATTGTGTCTGTGACATAATACAAATTCTTCTAGAACTTCTGATAGTTATCAATTAGGTACTCTAAACACTGAATCGGCTATGCTGAGACACCCACACTGCCAACACCTATCATGAGTGTCACATAACACGAATGAATTACTCAATGTAAGCTTCCTGATCAAATGTATGAAGCAATGGCACTTTGCCTTGCACAATTGTTAGTTTCATTTGGCCCTAATCTGATTATTCCCTCAACCCGTTCTTTTTTTTTTTTTTTTTTTTTGCACGGTGCACACTTATTGGATCTAAGAATTTGCCAGAAGCAATCATTGTGAATGATGTATGAACCCTTTGTCGCATGCATGATTTGCATGAGTACCGCAACCAAAGATAATACTGTATTGGATTTACTTTTCAGCATCCTATTTTACTTTCACAATTCATTCACACGCCTCAATTTAGTTTACAAATGGTGATCTTTTAATAGGTTCAACATTATATACACAATAAAATTCAGCACCTTGTGTGGTTCTGTCATACTTGGTGTTCTTTTTTTTGCCGTATTGGATCAATTGTTCCTCTCAAAGAGCACTGTTTGTACTTGTTTGATTGGTTACTACAAGTGTAGGTAATCCGTATTTTCCTCATGACACCACTGATATCATTTGAATATTTTTAGTGCTCTTCCAACCTTCCTTTGGCCAATTCAAGCAGCCACTTCAATCATCTTTACACACACCCTCTCTCTGCCTTACGTCGTCTGTGCAAGTTATTCCACCTGCCATCCTTCTGTTTTACTAACAACTGCTACTTTGCCTCTTCCTCCTACTGGTTTGCTGTCAAAAGTTGCATTGATGAAAGCAGATTTGCAAGGTAGATGCAGAAGATATGTCTGTTTAATATGGCGTGTGACAATCATTCCCCTTTTTTTTAAAATTATTTTTATTATGATTTTTTTATTATTATTTTTATTTATTTATTTTTTTGCACTGACAATGCCTGCCCGCCCCCACTTCTCCAAAAACTCACAGATTCCACATCTCACATTTCAGCACACAAATTCTGGTTGACATTTTGATCCTGACGCATACATACCAAATACAGTACATGTGAATTGTAAATACACTTGGTATGTAAAATTCAAAAGTATGAGGTTTGTCTCTGATGCTTAAAAATATTTGTCCTGTTATGCAGTGGACTGTTTTGAAATGTGTTGGCACACTAAATTTGTTTTTTGGATTTGTCACTTTCGCAGAAAGATATTTAATGTCATTTTAGTGACATTTTCACTATAGAGTGAAATGAGATAGGCACTGTTAGTCGACTCACTGTGTGTTATAATTCTGTTCGTGCTCAGGCCCCAGCACCACATGCCAGGAAGACTCCTGCGCCAACCAGGGAGTGTGTCTTCAACAGTGGGAGGGCTTCAGCTGTGACTGCAGCATGACGACGTTTGGTGGACCTCTGTGTAATGATGGTAGGAGTCGAGAAATCCTTCAAGCCTGTTTGTGTTTTTTTTCTGCACATATACAGGGTAAAAAAATAGGATGCAATTGCAGTCCTGGGTATAGTTTCTATTGTCCTTTCTCTCTCATAGAGAGAGAGGGAGAATGGAGAGAGAGAGAGAGAGAGAGAGAGAGAGAGAGAGAGAGAGAGAGAGAGAGAGAGAGAGAGAGAGAGAGAGAGAGAGAGAGAAAGGAAAAGTTCATTTACAGCAATGAAAGTCGACTGGCTCGCAGGACATGTAAGAATATATTACGTACATTTGGACTAAAAGATTCTGCCTGCTGAGCCTTGTTACTGTAGCCATACACATTGTTCCTGCAGACCTAATAAAACAATAGCCCAGCTCAATATCTTGGCCCTTGGGAGGCAATATGCAGGACATAGAAATTCTTTCCTAGTAGTATGACGAGCTTCAGTCGGTGGGATAAAGATGTGAGTCAGCTTCTCTTTGCCCAGAAAATCTGAGTGTGAGAAATGGAGCTGAAGTTTTATCTGTGTTGATGGATTGTCATGGGGACACATTTGGGGTGACATAAAAAATGAGAAAGTGTTTCAGCAAAATGTTTTTTTTTTTGTTTGTTTGTTTGTTTGTTTTTTTGGAAAGAGCAGGCAATTTAGAACACAGTGGATGGATTCAGGAAAATCACGTGGAGCTTAATGATTTATCCTAAATGTAGCTTTACTCCCTTGCCTACTACCTCGATATTATTCATTAACATGATATGGAATTGCTGTTGTGTTGTACCAGCAAAATATAATAAGCCTACTCAAGCTGTGCGATTAATTACGCTATGGGCAAAACTCCAAGATGGCAGCATGTATTTACATTACCTATTAACATTTACAGCTGCTCTGTGATGTAAAGCATGATATACCGCTGGCGTTTGTGGATATTTGTCAACTACTTGCAGTGCCTATTAGCCTGAGACAGGTTCCCTTAAATATTGTTTGTTTGTGGTTTGAGGTTTGAAGTTGTTTGGTCATCAACAGTGAACCACAAACACAAACAAAAAAAACAATCAGGTGATCCACCAAAAGGACAGTATGGCCAAGAACTGGTTTGACACTTAATATTTCCTGTTGTTGATCTTTTCCTTTGTCCTGGGCTTTTAAAATCCCAGTTTGAAAAAAGAATCAATGTTTGAATATGTGGATGTGTGTGTTTGCGTGTGTGTGCATGTGCGTGCATGAATACATCATTGGCATGTGGAAGGGCTAAATGTCCAGTCTAGACCTCCTGAGGGAGTTTGCCTGCAGGGGTCAAGTGTCTGAAGGTAATGTTTCAAGACAAGCAGAATGCTGTTTGCTATTGAGCTTAAGTGGGTCGAGAAAAGGCGACTAAGTACAGTCCGCCTGAGCTTCACGCAACTTTTGCCTTGCTTGGTTGCTCATTCACCCCTTCATATATTCTTAGCTATTACTGCTATGTCAATATTGGAGCAACAATGGAAGTAGTGCACTCGTATCTCCATTGTATCCGCCCAAGGGGCAAAGACAGGGCTTACCCCATGAGTTTCTAATGTGGCTGACCTAGTATATACTCGGTCACAAGTAAATGTAAATGTTTTGTTTTGTTTTTCTCGGTATTGCTGTACGTTTGTACAGAAGAAGGAAGGTCAAACTTGTGAATTGTAGTTTACTTTTTTATGCAGTGACCTAATATTTTCGTGTTACATTTGATAAACACTCTATCAATTAAAAAAACAAATTGTAAAACGAATCAAAACAAATTAAAGCAAAGTATATTTGAAAAATTAAAATGAATAAAAGCTAACAAACTTGTTCTAAACACGATTTAAAACACAGTGAACTAATAATAATAATAATAATAATAATAATACAAGAAAAATAAAAAAACAAAATAAAAATGAACCTTCATGAAAAATCCCAAAGTATTATAACTGTGCTTCACACATGCCTGGAGAAAGCTATGGAAATGTACAGGTGTATAATATATAGTCAAATATTACATAAAGCGTGTTAAGATAATAATATATGTTTAATAGTATCACAAATGTGCACTTTCATCAAGATGGAAGCAAAGTTGTGCCACATACACAGATAAGCATGACAGGATTGCAATAAATAAATAAAAAAGATTTCGTTTTGGTGAGAATTTGGATATAAGTGCACGTACTGGAATTTAGTGTCACCATTTTGCATAATTATGACATCAGTGGAGCCACATAATGATCAGAACAGAAGGATCTAATAATGATCTGAATGATACAAAATTCCAGCTATGACACTTCAGGAAGACATTTACCAAGCATCAAAGATGGTTGATTGATTGACTTAATACTCACGTAATAATGTCAAGACTTTAGAGAACCCATGAAATAGTATTGTAATTACTATTGAGTACTCCTGATTTAGAAAGTCAATATCTTGTTGATGTTAATGGTAAAGTAGGGAACTTGGGTTTCATTGAAGACATACATAAAGGCAAGCGAGTGCTTACCCTAGCATGCAGGCAATCAAGCGGTCAATAGAATACAGTGGACGGGTTAAACCACTTAATTTGTTTCAAGGAGATAACCAGGCCAGCTTGGTGGCCATGGGGGGTTTTAGCCACTTGCCTTTGCTATCACAACAAAGTAATATTCTATTTACTCTGTATGTGGCCCCATTTGATTGCACGCACCAGAAAATATATGGTCTCAGCATGTATTGAAAGCCTACGCTGGGTTTTAACAAACAATGCAACATATAAGAGGGCCCTTTTGTTGAGTTTTGTGTGTGTGTGTGTGTGTGTGTGAGGGTGGGGTGGGGGGTGGAGGGGTCCCTCTCTTTAGCAGCTATAACCTGATTTCCCTATTTCCACGCCTGCAAAAAATACAACAAAGCCAACCAGCATTTTTCATTGGAGTTTAATCCTTGACCTTAATGAGGACAGGTGGTAGAGAAAATGGATGGATGGATGTTCTTGTATACATATAGGCTTAAATACATCTCCAAAGCCAATGAAACAAGTTTTTCAGTGAACAGCAAACAGGCGTCTGTCCCCCGTGGCCCATGGACCTTTCATTCCAAGCACCCAGGGATTAGACTAAAGCCATCCCTCTCTTTCTCCGTTACAGAAAAGTCAGTTCAACCTTCGAAAGTCTCCTTGACTTCGTGCAGTCTTATGTTTTTCATTTAAGGAGGATAGACTTCATAGGTTTCACGGGTCCCTATCTGTCTAAAGCAGCAAGCTGGCACGTGCGATCGCTTACTATCTTGGGGAAATTTAATTTCCACCTATACCACCGTCTTGATTTAAGTGGTTTAAGTAAGAGTCCTGCTTAATAGGGATTTAGGATATTCTCAGCCAAAACATTTGGTGCATTGGCTGCCACTTCCAAGCAGCCTGGCGAGACATATAGCATCGGATGGTTCTCGCTTTCTGGAATTGGATGGGGATGAAGCTGGGTGGGGGAAAGCTATTAACCTTTCTTAGCGCAGTGATTCCAAACCAGTGCGTCAGAGCATATGAGTGTGCCATAAGAGATCATCAAGTGAGCTGTGGGAAAGTAGTCCATTTCAGTGAATTTGTCCGAAAAGAATGTGTATCGATACATAATGTATCTTTGTTTAGCTATCCATGCCAGCAATGACATCACAGGCAGAACAATTAACTGTTCTTTCAATACATGGCAGAAGGCACATAATAAACCTATATAATCTCTTTTTGTTTGGTTGCAGTGGATTATTATTATTTTTTGCTCATGTAAAATATAATAAAAATTAGAAAACACTGTTTTTTCAAGAGCTCTTGGGCCATAGGTGTCAGATGTGACGGTATAGTAGCCCTATAATGACAGTCTGACCTACAAAATACATGAAAAACACTCTTTTTATCCCATATGTCTTATTTTGCGACCCTCTCATCATGCGTACAACACTTTTCACTTGGTTCTACTATACAACTACAGTACTGTACATTTATAGTCAGCTATTTATAAGAGAGCCTCATCTGCACTCGTACCAGAAAACACAATTTTTCCATATCTCCTGACCTTGTGTTTCACGATAAAGGCACAGCACTTGTTCTTGTATCACGTCAACATACAATTCGAATGCTATATCCACGTGTCACTCTGTAGTGAAGTCCAACCTCTACATTGTGTATTCTCCCATTTTATATGAGGTCAACTGAGCTTTATGCCGCTATAGTTTCCCACTACTAGGGGAATATGAATCGAAAATGCTCCAGATATGAAGTTCAACTGAAATTGAAGAGCAAGAGACATGGAGAGAAGTGCAGAACTAATACTGGCCCCATAAACCCTATGTCTGAAGGAGACTCTTTTATAGAACACTCCTTGAAATCAGTTCTTCTCTTCGCTATCATACCTGGAGAATGGCCTTGCATTTGTGATAAAAGAAAAGTATTTACATTTGTCTGCGAGCTGTTTTGCAAAGATTTTCTTTAATTCAGGAGACAAGGGCTGAGTATTTTCTTTTATTTAGGTTTTTTTTTTTGTATTTGGAAAGGGGCAACTTCAATTAGTGAGTTCATTGTTCTAGTTAACACAGTTCTTTGACAAAGGCGTTCTCCTCAAGTGGGAGGCGGACCGTCCTTGACCTGTTTAAGATGGTGAGCTCTGAGAAGAGAAGTGATGGACTGGGCTTTCGGGAGAGACAGATAGACAGAGATGGACAGACCGCAGTGCCTCGGCAGCCCGCTGCATCTTGGGAACTGTCAGACAAGATAGAGGGAAAGCCTCCAGAAAGCTGATGACCTACGACCCCTATCTCTCTCACTGACAGTCAGGATTTAGTTTATGCATTTGCGGACACATTTTCTCTGCATATCCACACACACGCTAAGTAACAGACAGAAGCAAGAGGGATGTACCGATGCACACATCCAACTATAACCTCAATTTGCATTTATGTGCAAGGTTGTTTTAATGTTATTGACTAAGTACAGGCTCAATATATATTTTTGGGGGATTTAGGAAATGATTAGCGCTGTGATGTCATCGC